TATCTTATACAGCATACAACTCATAAATATATGAAATTCTTCTCTATAAATTCTTTATAGATTCTCATAGAATTCTATCACTGATTTTTTTTTTGTAAGCTCTTATTGTGAAAGTTTATACAATAGTTCCACATTCAACCATTCATATACAAATGGTTCCATGAAATTGATTGCTATCCTTGCAATGTATGAACACTCTCCCCATCTGACACCCTGCCTTCCCTGTTTCCATCCATCTAGTTTCCCTGCCCCTCCTTGCTTGCTCATCTTTGCTTCTGGGCAAATGTCTGTGTGGTATATTTAGTTGATTGCTCTGAGCACATTCCTCATGGGTGTTACTGTTTGTTTTATAGGCCAATTTACATAGCTGAAAGGAGACACCTAAGAATGGCTTCAGTTCCAGTTTGAAAGGGTGCCTTAGGGCAATAGTTTTGAGGATTCCTCCAGATTGAGAGTTCCTCTTTCATTCCATTAAGTCTAGTCCTTTTTATGAATCTGAGTTTTGTTTTACATTTTCCTGTCATTCTGAGACCTTCTATTGTGGTCCTGGTCAGAGTGGTTGGTAGTAGTAGCCAGTTTACCATCTATTTTTCCTTCTCGTTTCAGGCTAGAGGAGGCTGTGGTTCATTAGTGTTTTGGTTTAATTTCTTCTTTGAGTCTTTAGTTTCCTTCACTCTCCTTTGTTCCAAATTAGAAGAGAACAATAGTTGGCTGTATCTTAGATGGCTGCTCTCAAGCTGTTAACACCCTAGATGTGACTCACCAAACTGGGAAGTAGAACATTAACTATGTTATGCCATGCCAATTGAGCTACATGTTCCAAGATCATAATCCTCAGCCTTAAAAACCAATACCTCAGTCCCTGGAGGTGCTTTTATGTATCTAAGAAGTTTCCATAACTGTGCTCCCAATGCATATACATACAGCGTATACAAATACTTTGTTCCTGTATGGTTTTCCTGAATTCTTCTAGGGGTTTATCTGTGTTTTTCTAGGTTTTGTCTGTGTTTTCCTTGATCTCTTTGAGAATACTATTTAAATCTGTATAAATTTTGGTCATTTATTTGAGCCATCTTATCCTGTTTCTTCATATGATTTGTTATAGTCTGCTGTCTCTGAGACATTAAAGTATTATTTTACCTATATATTGATTTCATGTTTGTTTTTTTCAGGTTGTGTTGTTTTGTTTTGTTCTGATCATCAGGATATGTGAGTGGACTTACTTTGCTGTTTTCTCATTTGGCAGCATGGGAGTGCTCTCTGTCTCTGGGTGGGTGGGGAAGCAGCAGGCAGGGCAAGCTAGGAGGACAGAGTAGTGGGTGAATGGAGCGTGGGAGATGGGTAAAGTGTGGGAGCACTCTGTGCTTATTCAGTGGGTCGGAGGGGTGAGTGGCTGGGAACATAGGAGTGTCTCTGCTTACTTGGTGGATAGGCAAAGTTAGGTGTGGGTTGGGTAACTGTGAGTACAGGAGGACTCTTTGTCTGCTTGGTGGGTGGGTGGGGTGAGCAACTGGGGTGTGGTCCCATGTTCTCTACTTGCATGATGAGTAGATGGGGCAAAGGGTGATTCAGGAGACCAGGAGCATGGTCCCATGCTCTCTGCCAGCTCAACAAGTTGGCAGACAAGGGACAAGGTGGGTGGCTGGAGAGTGCTCATTTTCTGCTGCTTGCTAGGGGTATGGGGGAGGTGGCAGAAGCAGTTGGAGGTGGGGAGACTTGTACTATGGTCCCCAGCATTCAGGGTATCAGGGATGGGTGGGTTCATGTAGATAATCACCAGAAGTTGGGGGAGGGGAAGCACACTCCTCTAGTCATTGGGTGCTTACAAGCAATTAGACTTGACCCTCACCAAGTGGGTAGGCAGAGAAGAGGAGAGAGGAGCTGCCTAGAGTTTGGTAGGGTGGGGTATTGGGGACCTCTTGCTGATACTATATGTATTAGTTACTCTATGTATACCACTGACCCTAATGATCAGGGACCGCCACTGGTGAGTCACCTTGTCTCTGATAAATTCAACTATGACCTGACAAAATCAGATTATAAATAATGCTAGATTACTGTCTGACTCAGGAAAGAGTTCACTTTCATCACTGAAGAACAAGAGCAGTTTTGCCATGAATGTTAGTTGATATTTTTGATTGTGACTAAATAAGATGAAAATGCAACAATGAGATACATGTAAGAACTTCACTTGTTTGTTAGTGATGTGAGGGACTGTTTTGCCACATTAGAAAATAGTATTCAAACACTCAAAGAAAATATCCTCAATATTTTATGCTATTTACAAGACAAAGGCTACAGATATGATATATGTTGAAGCGTACTCTGACTGTTAACATTTTAAGTCTAGACAATTGACAAAGCAATTAACAGAACAATGTATCAGTCCCTGATATGTAGCATCTTCTGACTCTATGGTATAGATACTTTTACCATGATGTCATTGAATGTGGAATTCGGAAGATGCATAGAAGCACACCATCATTTCCACCATAAAGATACAATACACATAAATCATCTTAAGAGCACAGACAAGGGGGAAATGTAGTAACTTTGAGTATTTACTTCCATTTAATTAATATAATCTAATTTTAAAAATAGATATGCTTAGCAACTGGCTCACAAGATTCTTCATAGTTTAAAATAAGCTTCTGTGAACTGGTACTATGGAGTCCTGTGTGGCACTGCAGGTTAATGTGCTGAACTGCAAAGTCGGTTTGAACCACAACGTCAGTGGTCAAGCTCACCAGTTGCTCCTCGGAAAACCCTATACAGGGTTGCTATGGGTTGGAACTGACTCTATGGCATTAACAACAACAACACAAATTTGCTCCAGCACACTAAACGTGCCTTTCGACCCTCAAAATGTTCCATGCTACTATTTAAAAAAAGATGAGTTACTCTGAAGAAAAGAAACTGTTTAGCACTTACCAAGAAGAGGAGGCAGTGGAGGCAGTGTAGGTAATTTAATGAGTCCCAACAGTTTACCTCCAATCATGGCACAATAGAAGAGGATTATAATTCCAAATAGGTTTCCTCCAGGGAGACATTCGCTGCCAGTAATTGACCAAACTACAGCCCATAGAAGAACAAGTATAATAACTGAAATAAACCAGGAAAATTAGACAATTATCAATAAATTATCATAATCAACTTTTGATATCATTTAAAAAGTGCTGTCTTGAAATATTGAGTATTAAATAGTAAACATATCAGTTTCTAAAGAAATTACCAACATTTAGAAAACTGTGCAGAATACTGTATATCTGCAGGGTAAGCACTGGACTGCTAACTACAACATCAGTGTTTCAAGCCCACCAACCGCTTTCAGTTCCTGTAAATTTTTCGGCTTTGGAAACCCTATAAGGGTTGCTGTGAGTCGGAAATGACTTAATGGCACTTAACAACAACAAAAACAGAAAACTGTATTAAAATATTCTTGTTTCAATCCTTACAGCAAGGATCATTCCCATCCCTTCCATACAAAGAGTAGACAGGGATGGGCAACTTGGACATTGGCTACCCAAAATGGGAGGGCTACAAAGGCAAGAAGTGACTGGCTTACAAGCTTTCAAGAGGGAACCTAGATCCAGAGGGCATGGAGGAAGGTAGAATCTCCACTGAGTAGTATCCAATCTGTCTAGGCGGGGCTGATGAAATGAAATGCGGATGGGTCTCTTGTGATACAATAGTGAATAATTGTTATCAGGACTGCTTGGGAGGGTTGGAAATGTAAAGGCAGACATTTTGTAGCAAGTAGGGGAGTGATTAACTCTTCAGGCTAGGAGCGGAGGTCCCTGGGACCATCAAGGGAGAAGAATGGGGAGCGGGACCCTACCCAGAGAAGCAGTGATGCCTGAGATGGAGGCAGAGACAATGATGTGGAGAGACGGAACAGTTGGGGACTTTAGACCCAGAGAGGGAGAGGGGCTATGTGCTGACCACCGGGGTGGGGGTGGGGGGCAGGCTTGTAGTGTATAACCTTTGGTTGGTTGATGATGCATGGAGGGGATTGTAACCATGGCAATGAAATGATATACGATAGGATGAATGTAAAACTAATGTTCTCCCATGTAAACTATCACAAAATTCACAATAAAACATTAAAAAAAAAATTTCTTGTTCTCTTAAGAAACAATTCTCAAGTCTCATGATGGGTCTTACTATGTTACATTTTAATTTAATGCATTGAACCTACTCCAATGCCGTTGAGTTGATCATGAATCATGCCATTGAGATGATCATGCCATTGAGATCCTATAGGACAGAGTCGCTCCATAGGGTTTCTGGGAGTTCTGATGTGGTACTGTAGGATAAGCCCTGGACTGCTAATCTAAGGTTGGTGTTTCAAACTTACCAGTTGCTCCTTGGAAACCCTATACAGGGTCACTATGAGTCAGAACTTGATGGCACTTTAAACAACAACAAACAGGGTTTCCAAGGCTATAATCTTTACGGAAGCAGAATGATTCGTTTTCCTCCCACAAAGTGACTAATGGACTTGAACCACTGACCTTTCAGTTAGCAGCCCAATGCTTAACCCATTGCACCATGAGAGTTCCTTTTCTTAATGTATTTAGATGCTTGCTTTCAAGTCTTAGTAAAAGAACTATATTTCTTATTACTCTCAACTATATATGTTGATTTTCTTATCAGACTATAACTTCTTTAAATGTATGAATTAACTTCAATTTTTCTTTTCTTTCCCTCCAACGACCAGTTTAGTGCTTTTCAACTAAAGTAGTCTTAATAGCACTTGTTCACTAACTCTAGGATTTATATATGTATCTAAGTTTATGATTCATTTTAATAATATAAATATATACTATTTTTCTAATTTTTAATAATATAAAAGATACATTAGGCAGCACACAATCCACAGTAAACAGTACTATCAAATGTATAAATAATTAAAGATGATTTTGTTATCAGGAAAAACAATTTATGAAAACATTTCTAATACTATAAAAACTATTTTAAAAATTAAAGACTGAAAAAACAAGTACAAAGTAGAAGAAAAAAAGTATGAGAGATAATTTTGTATGGTCCATGAATTGTGTTATAAATTTTGGCAGAGAAAAAATTCTTCACTCCTGCTGTACAGGGGTCACTATGAGTCTGAATTGACTTGATGGCACTTAAGAACAACAACAAATTGCTTTAAATTCAGTCAAAAATTTACATCTCATTTATAATTTTGTAAAATCTTATTTTAATATGTAACATTTACTTCATATGAAGAATGCTTAGTGCATATTTAATGCATACAGAGAGAAGTACACGAGTAGTATTGTAAGCTTGAGAAACAGACATATAAGTAAACAAGTGGAGAGTGATTAGATACACTGAGCCTATGGAATTTTTATAAATATCCGAGTCTTCTAAAAAGGGCAGAAAAAGCCTTAAATTATCTGTACCCTTATACAATGGACTGTAAGAATAACAAACAAATCTGTACTGTAAGAAGTACAGTCATCAAGACTTCATCTCTCATACTTTGGACTGTTACCAGGAGGGACCAGTCCCTGGAGAAGGACATCATGCTTGGTAAAGTGGTTGTTGTTGTTAAATGCTGTCAAGTTGATTCCAACTCAGTGATCCTGCATACAGTTTCCAAGTATGGCTGGTGGGTTTAAACCACCAACCTTGGTGGCAGTTCAAACTGACCACAAGGTCCAGTGATTATCCTACAGTGCCAACAGGTAAAGAGGAGGGTCTGTGAAAAAGAGAAAGACTTCCAAAAAGATGTATTGGCACAGTGGCAGCAGCAGTGGGCTCAAGAGTAACAACAATTGTGAGGATGGTGCAGGACCAGGCAGCATTTCATACAGTGGCACCTAACAACAACCACAACTCTATGTGGTGCAGTGAACCACTTCATATGTCTCGTCTAGCCATAGCATTTGTAACTTTCACCAAACTACTGTTTCCTGCTGGGTCTGGGTAAGGGAAGGTGGGAGAAGATACTGATAGTATGACATGATTCACCTATGGATATTAATCGAGTTCATTGAATTGTGAAAATTTGAAACTCTAGCATGGGTAGAAAATGAGCCATATCAGACAAAAGGGGGAATTTCACCATCATCAAATAAGCAAAACCAGGAGTAGAGTGTGTCCTTTGGACACAGAGATCCCTGAGCATTAAACCTCCTCAATCCAGGGACAGAAAGCTGGGACACTGGAGGAGTGGCAGAGGAGCAATAGCAGAACTAAGAACCAGAGCACAAGTAGAGCGGTGGGCTTCCCAGTCCTTGGAGCAAGCAAAGCAGAATTACTTTGGGCAGAAGATTTATTTCCCTGTAGATTGGGAGGCATCCAGGCACTTAATTAGGGATCTAGGTTTGCTGATCCAGCAGAGTGGGGTGCCTCAGGCACTTAATTAGGGGTCTAGATTTGCTGCATTCAGACTGAAGCTTATGGTGGAGTGGTGTGTCTGTGGCATTTGTCAGAAGCCCTAAAAATAATTTTTTTCCATTGCCTTGGTAGAGAGGGGCCTGCTCTTGGTCTTGGTTGAGGAGACGCTGTCCTGATTGGGAGAAGTGTGCCCTGATCATTTTCTGATTCTCTATTGTTGTTGTTAAGTACCATAGAGTCGGTTCCGACACATAGTGACCCTGTATTGGACCCTGTTAATTTCCCTAAAAACCCCATAACTGAGTACGGTGTCTTTGAGTTCTGTGTGGTCACTGCAATTATCAAACCCAGATTATTAATAGAAAGGGCTCTAGGAGGTATAGTTTTGTGTTACTATTTTTGTTGCACCTTGTTGTTTTATACACTATTGTTGTTAAGAATTGTCAAGTTGGTTCAAACCATAGCGACCACGTATAGGGTTTCTAAGGAGTGATTGGTTAGCTTGAATCGCCAACTTTGTGATTCAAACCAACTTTGCAGTCCAGCACATTAACCTACATGCCACACCAGGACTCCCACATCTTATTAGCAAGAGTATATTTTGGAATCTGCTTTCTTCTGGGTTCCAAGCATAATTTGAGACTCCGCCCCCCCATGCTAGTTTAGAACTTTATTTAATTTCATTGAAAATGTATCTAGAGTCTAAAATATGGCATATCATAATTAACTTTCCCACAGTCCCAGATGATAATGATAAAATGTCTTTCAGAACTCAAAGATCAAGCATAACAACGAAGAAATGAGTCTGACTTTTCAGTAATCATAATGTCTAGATCAAATGCATTACATTCTTCAACATATTTACCATGGGAGGTCACATATTAACTCCAATGATATTGTCAGTCCTTAAAATGATTTTTCAAACTGTCTTTAAGTTTCCAAAACCCTTCTTTCTTTCCCCTGTTGTATTATACATCTCCTAGTTGTTGTTAAGTGCCGTCGAGTTGACTCTGACCCATAGTGACCCTGTGTAGGGTTTCCGAGGAGCAGCTGGTGAGCTTACATACACATATATACACACATCCTTTTTCTTTTTACTGAATTTGAACATCTATCTTATTAATCAAGTTGATATCAGAATAACTTTGGTATAGGCCAAAGACAAATTCAAAATAGTGCTGAGATAAATTCCCAAAGGAAAATCCCACAAATGTTTAAGTAATGGCAGCTCTGTTGGACTGAAATGAACTGCAAACAAAGATTCTTACTTAGAAAATAATTGGATTTATTTAGAAGGATAAACTAAGATTATTTGCTCAAATAATATTTGCATTATTTAAAAGCAACTAACATTTATGTTGGAGTCCTGGTATGGCACCAGAGGATAAGCACTTGAACTCAAGGTTGGTTTGAACCACACACTGGTGTTTCAAACTCACCAACTGCTCCTTGGAAACCTTATCCAGGGTCACTATGAGTCAGAACTGATTCGACCGCATTTAATAACAGCAATGACATTTATGTAGTGCTTCTTACAAATTATTTCACAAGGCTTTTTCTCAGTAAAACTCTTAAGAACTACTTTGAAATTCATAATTCAGATGAAAAAAAGGAAGAAATCTTGATTCCTGCTCTTTCCCCCTTCCTGCTAGTGGAATGGTAATCACAAGAGAGATCTTGGAAGCCCTTTTGAAAATTGAAAATGATAGAACCTTGTCAGCATGATCCCTGGATGACCATATGGATCAGAATCACCTACTCGTGTGATTGTTGATCTAGTACTTTTCATGAGCGAGGAAAGTAAGATGTTTTTTTGTCTTTGAAATCATTTTTTGTGATCTCTGGTTATAATGACTTCATTTTTTATTTTATCCTTAATTCATCCTTACTGTTTACATACCATTTGTTATCACTTTATCCAATAATCCACGTGGAGGGCAAGCAAATATTTTTCTTAGTGTCTGCAAATGATTTGATTCAGTTGGTGTTTCTTGTAGCTTTTTTTCACTGCTATTCAGTAGGTTACTTCCTTCTGGTGACTCATTTACATCTATACTTCTGAGGTTCATAACTGTATCCTCCTGAATCTAAAGAAGCAAGATATACACTTCAAACTGTATACTCACTACATATTTTTGTATGTTCTCTAAGTCATCATATCACAAATCAGATTTCCAGTACTAGAATCAAGGCTAATACTTATTAGGAAAATACACAGCTTTATTACTAGCTAATCAGCTGATGCTTGGAACAAGAATGATGTTATAAATACTTAGCATTGAGTCGCTATTTGTGGTATTATAGATGCTTGAGTCACATCACATTTCATTATGCTGGGTTTAAAAATCAGCATATAAAGACATGATAATAGGCAAACACAGTATACATACCAAAGCTGTTTAGAAAAAAGATAACTGATAAATAAAAATTAACATTCATACATTCATTCACTTGTTTGAATTTAAATAATAGAAAGGAAAAAGAAAAAATTTAAATCAATCTAGGATTTAGGTTGGGAACACATAGATTTTCACAGGCTTCCCCATTTTTCCAGCCTCATGTAAGGGCCAGTTGCTAATAGCCTTAGCTGGGAAACTCTCAGTCACACCTGACCTAGACTGTACGAGTTTGGAGATAAAGAATGGGGAGAATTGTTAATTGATTAGTAAGTAATGAAGAGAACATATTTCAGTAATATTGAAAAAAGTCCTTTCCTTAAAGGAATGGGTGAGATATTATAACCTGGATGAGACTTACTTGGGTTTCTTGATGAGCAGAGGCAGTGTGATTCACCCCTGTGGATGCTTCTGAATCTTCACATGCAATTGTTTTATCTTCATCCCCCATGATTTATAATTTTAAAAAATATGACAGAGGGAAGAGAAACAAAGCCTGTTTTGAAAGAAAAACAGTAAAACATAGCAGTTTGACAATCTTTGTACTACGTAAATGAATAATGTGTACTTAGTGCATTCCCTTAGAACCCTTAAAAGCTAACATATTTTAAGTTAGAAGAGACCCCCAATGAGATGGATTGGCACAGTGGTGGCAGCAAGGGCTCAAGTGAAACAATTGTGAGGTTGGAACAGGACTGGGCAGTGTTTCGTTCTGTTGTGCATAAGGTCACTATGAGTCAGTACTGACTCTATGGCACCTAACAATTTTAACTTACAAATTGTTCGCTTTTTTTTGTGATTGCAATATATTGTCTCATTTTTTTAAAATGTTTTATTGTGAATTATGTGATAGTTTACATGGGAGAACATCAGTTTTACATTCATCCTATAGTATATCATTTCATTGCTATGGTTACAATCCCCTCCATGCATCATCAATTAACCAAAGGGTATACACTACAAGCCTGCCCCCCGCCCCCCGGTCACCAGCACACAGCCCCTCTCCCTCTCTGTGTCTAAAGTCCCCAATGGCTCCATCTCTCCACGTCATCATCTCTGCCTCCATCTCAGGCATCACTGCTTCTCTGGGTAGGGTCCTGCTCTCCGCTCTTCTCCCTTGATGGTCCAA